CTGAAACTCAAGGCAGGAACCTGGAAGCAAGAATCATGGAGGAGCACTGCCTGATAGCTTTACCACTGCCTTGCTCACAGGATCATGCTTAAGTAGTATTTTTAATACAACCTAGGACTACCTGCCTTGGGATGGTATTGTAAACAGTAGGCTGGGCCCTCCTAGATTAATTAATAATCAAGACAACCCCACACAGACATGCCATTAGGCCAATCTCATTTAAGTAATTCCTCAATTGAGGTTCTTATCAAATAATTGTTGGCTGTGTTAAGATGACAATTAAAATGAACTAGGACAATACTGAACTTAATAAGATGTGCTGAAATTTCAGATAGTCATATGTGTGCCCAACAAATAATCTCTTTTGATGCAGTAGTGGCACTTTTATCTTGGGGGTAATCAAGAGCTATCTAATTGGACTTGAGGCCCACTCAATGGGAGGGAGCTCATGCATGCTAACATAAACATAGCCATAGTTCACATGGCTGGAGCTGTCATAGATCCTATGAAAAACCTACTTCTGTCACTCTGCTAGATCAATGCAATTTCTTGCTATATTCTGAATATGCATCCTCATATTTACAAAGCATACCTCTCACCACTCATCAAAGAAGCTTCTTTTGCAATAGATGCAGACTATTACAAGGTTCTACAACTGATCAAACACATAGAATAAGTGATCATGAGATGCCCAGTCCTAAGTGACACAACTATAATGTAACATCTACACCTAAGGCTCAGGTAACATAGTGGAACAGGAGGATTAAAGAATGTAAGAGCTAGAGGGACAAGATACCTGCTATTAGTTAAAGCATTCTAGACATGATAGGAAAGCTACACCAATAAAATCTCTATAGTATGGTAGTCTAAAAAGATCTGCATATAATGACAAAACCAGCTGATATACCAAGATTGATGGGGGACATTTCATGGGATTCCCATCTCAAGATGAAGAGCTACAGGTAATCAATGGATGCTGAGGGATGGAGAATTTTCTAGGGACTAGCTCCCTGAGAGGCTATCTAATTCTAAGTGGACAGCCCTAAACACAGGTACATAAGGAATAACACTAAATGGACTCAGCACATCATATATATGCATATCTGTAAACAAATATATGTATGTATGTATGTATGTAACAAAAATAATCAAAGAAGAAATTGACAAGAAATTGAGAGGGATGGGGGATATGGGAGGAGTTGTAGGAGGACTGGGAGGGATGGAAATAATGCAAAGATTATTTGCATTATTACAAAAACAAAACCCAGGAATCAGAAAAAAAATGGTGAATGAGTCCCTGTTGTGTCCAAGGTTCAGTATCATAACACACATCATCTGGCATAGTGCTTGTATTAGTCAGGGTTCTCTAAAGAAACAGAACCGGTAGAATGAATATATATATATAGTCCGAGTAGTCCAACAATGGCTGCACCACACTGGAGAGGCTGAGAATCCATAGTCGCTCAGTCCACAAGGCTGGATGTCTCAGTAGTCCGAATCTGGTGCTGAAGGTCTGACAAATTCCAAAAGATCAGCTAGCCTTCAGTCTATCTTCAGCAAGACGAACTCACCGGCAAGAGAGAAGGCAAGCAGCAAGAAGCCAGGTGTTCTCCTCTGCCTTGGCCTTTTATACAGGCTGCCATCAGAAGGTAACGCCCACATTTAGGGTGTGTCTTCTGGCTTTAGATGATCCAATCAAGAAGATCTCTTTCATTACAGTTAATCCCAGATCCAATCAAGTTGACACCCAGGATTAGCCGTCACAGTGCTGAACAGTTGGATGGACTGTGGAGACAGCTCGGGTACAAATCTATGTTGTTCCTTACTATTTAATAGACCTTAACAACTCACTTAACCTTTCTTAACTTCAAGGTTTTTTTCATTATTATTTGCTTGTTTTGAGATAGTGCCTTTCTATGTAGCCCAAACTGACCGTGAATTTATGATATGCCTTCCTCAGTCTTCCAAGTGTGTGGATTAGAGATGTGTTCCACCATGCCTGGCCAGTCTCTATTTTCAAAACTGTAGCGTATGTATGTCTCAAACAGAAAACAGTCTAGACTCAATGTTAGACTTTTATTCAAATAGTCCCATCAGAATTAGAAGAGGAATTTCCTTGGAACCAGGGGTAGATGGCCTATGAGGCAGAGCACTGTGACATGCCTTGAGACTCACAGCAAAGGCTCTTGTTGGCTGTGTTGGAGTCACTGTTAAGAGCTCCCATTGAGAATTCTGACCTTGACAGTTCAGTTATTGCTTTTGTCTCTATCACTGGAGGATAAAATCAGTCATTTGCTGGTACTTTGATCTGTGAGAGCACTTATTTGGCACTCTTGTGTTTATATGAAGGAAGATGACTGCTGTTTAAAAGATAGCATTAACTAAGACAAGAAAAGTCATGTATCTAAAAGCCCCAGACTTCTAGGCTAACATTTTCTTTAAAAAAACTCATTTGTTATTATTTTTTTAACCTATTCAATAACATTTTTCTGAGCTAGGGTACATCTCTTTCAAAATTGGCTGTACATTTTTAGGTTTACAGATGAATTATTACACTTGTACAATCTTTTACTCATTATAAACTCTATAAGACATAAAATTAAATGAGGTTTTAACGTTTAAAAAAGATCTCCACTTCGTTGTTAAAATACACAGTTTCATACAAAAAAATTCATTTTAAGGCAATTGACATTGAGACGTTTTCACATGCATTTCTAACCTCTATATATATGACTATTACTGGTCACAGTCGCTTACTTTCTGAGTTCCTTGGCATCTGAGTATGAATATAAACTCATCAGATAGACAGCCTTCCTCTCCCACTAGAGCCTCCATACTCTGTCATCCCTGCCACTGTCTACTGTGCTATCAGCACCCCCATCCATTCCCCCCTATCTGCCCTTCTGGTAAATCTAGTCAGCCAGAGGTCCCTGTTCCAGAAGGATCAGCTGTTCCTCATCTACGGCAATCCATTGTCAGTATTCCTTTGGATAGAATTGTGGTCTGCTGTTCATTTTTCCAGTAGCGTGTTGGGTTACTATCTGGAAGAGCCTTTATCTATCCTGGCCAACAACTCGACTGAAGGTATCGCCTGTCTGGCTTTGCTGTTTGTCAAGTAACTTTTAGCTATATATATGTATGGTCTTATGATATTATGTTGGCCCCTTTAATCTTTGGTTATACTTCCCTTTTGGGTATTTAAGGACATACAATTGGACCAGATAAACCGATTTGTTTTTACTCTTGAGGTCGTTTGAGGATCTGTTCCTCAGGGGTCCCATGGGCTTGGGAGGAGCCCCTGGCTCCTTTCTTTTTACCAGTTCCATCTATGTGAAGAAAAGTCAAAGGTCCTGCTCGACCATTGTTGGCTTCTCTTGGAAGCATGGAGGAAATGATTCCTCCGTGTTGACCCTCCTCTTTATAGAAAAAAACTCATTTGTTATTTTTAATTTATGTGTATGAGTATAATGCCTGCATGTATGTAAGTGCACCCGTGTCAAGCAATACCCATGGAGGATGGAAGAGAGCATTGAATTCCCTGGAACTGGAGTTATAGATGGTTGTTGGCCACCATGTGGGAATTGACCCTGGGTACTCTGCAAGAGCACTTAGTGATCTTAACCACTGAGTCATCTCTCCTGTCCATAAAACAAATATTTTTAAAAAGTTTTCCAGAAAATTGAAGAGGAATCATTTTGGCCTAACTCAGTTTATGTTGTGGCACATGATATAAGTCATGTGATGTGTGGCAAGGCCTCCAGTCTCTAGGATTCTACATAGCCTTCCTCTCATTACAGAATGTCATTCATCTAAATTCCACTTAGCCAAGTCCTTTGGTTCCTTATGTCACACCCCATCTGTACTTTATTCCCTCACACTAGTCAATGGCTATTCCTCACCTGCATAGATTTTAGTCCCCTTGTGTGAACAAGATTGTGAAACAGCTGAAAGGAATTAGATTCTACAGTTTTGGGGTTCAGAACAAGTTTCTTGGCTTAAGAGATAAGTTTTAAATTCATCTACATAGAGGTGGAGATGCTTGAAAATGGAATAAGGGAAGTAACTGAACCACTTAGCAAAAGTAGCTTCTTTTATTTAGGTTTTAAGTGATTGAGACTTATACTTGGGTTATATCCACAGAAATCTATCCCCAATAACTCAGTCAAGAGACATGGGAAAGGACAAGTGTAATTAATCAATGAGCTCATTGATTGTCAGGGGGAAGAGAGAGGAAAGGAGAGGGAGAGGAGAGGAGAGGAGGGGAGGGGAGGAGAGAGAGATAGAGATAGAGAGAGAGAGAGAAAGAAAGAGAGAGAGAGAGGAAATTAAGGAAGAAAGATATGCTTTTGAATAAATGCCATGGTTTCCTTAGAACATCTCTTGTTTGTGTTTTTATCTTGGTGAAACTGAATTGTCTACATTTGTCTCTTTAAATTCCCTATCTTGTGCGTGGCTCAATCTGATATGGTGTCATCTTTAGCCCCTTTGCCAGATCTGCATTCCAGTGAAACTCGAATTTGTAATCTCCAGTTCCATTCTCATTGAACATACTGAAACACTGAAGTATGTACACTAGATCCTTGCCCTCACCTGATGGGGTCCCCTTTCGTTAGCTCAACCTTATATAATATGACTGGATTGGGGAATCCCCTACAATAAATATGTGTGCCACATCCTTACAGACCTGCAAGATATAGCTATCTTATCCTCCCTTGAAACTAGAGCTGTCTCTTTCCTATAGTATTTCCCTGATCAACATCATGGACTGGCTGCAGAACAGGGAGAGGAAGCAGAACACCCACTCTGCTAGAGGCAGGGCTACCAGTACCAGTAAGTACGCAGCACTGTTCAAAGGCCAGGACATCACTCACAGAGTGGGAAGATCAGAGAACTCACAGCTTCAGCACCTCTCACATCCTGCACAGTGCACACCTGCTGAGCTCTTGCTGGACCTGGACTACTGCCTCATCACTCTTTGCCTTTGTTGTTTTATCCAACATATGGACAGGTTCCTGTCCCTCCTGTTCCTAGGAGGCCTCCTGTCTTTGTGCCAGTCTCGCACAAAGGGTGAGTCTCATGACAAAGAGAGCAGGAAGGTGGGGTCTGAGAGTGGTGTCCTGAACATCCTGCTTGGGAAGGCTAGGCGCTTCAGGGGCTGTTGAATTCAGGTTCCTGAATTCTCTAGTTGTCACGACCCTCTGTCCCCACCATGGAAATTTTTCCTGGAGGACCTGCTGTCTAATAATTCCATCAAAGTCTAGTTCTAGGGAAGTTGTGGAGAGAAAACTTGATGAGAAAGGGTGATAAAAATAACTGAAGGTCTAGAAATGGGCCAACAGAACAACACACTATTTCTCTCAACTAGGATTCAGATCTTGGTAAGGAACTGAAAAGAAATCTCTTCCTTTCTTTTCCCCACTGAATCCTCAGTCTTCTCCCTCAACCTTGACCAACCCTAGCAGCGATGAAATGTCCACCGCATTGTTCCCTTTAGAAACTACAGCTACAAGCTGAAGCTGAAGAGAGAGGGAGGGGTCTTTCTGGTAATTACAACTTATAAACCTGGATTCTCCAGTGCCCCTGGGAGATATTCCTTCAAAGGGAGGGTTTCCCAGATACCTACAGAAGTCAGGCTAGGGAAGCCTGGAAACTCAGCCTCCAGTCAGACACCTGCATTAGGTGCCTTCCTGCCCTCTTCACTAGTTGGCTTCCTCTGCCTCACTCTGGTTTTGACATGATATCTAGGTTCTATACAGGAATCTACTTTTTGTACCTCCTGTGATGAATTCGTGGGCAAGACCTGCAGAAGGAATTCAGGTGTCTGTCAACCCAGATATCCTGACTTTGCATGCCAGACTAAAGAAGTATATGTTCAACACTATACTGGAGGTGAGGTGAGGGAAAGAGGAGAGGAGGGATGGGAGACTGACTTTATGACTTGGCTTGGGGAGAAAAAGAGCCCTAGATTTGGATTCAGAATTTGACTGTTCCACTGGCATTGGCATTGACCTAACTGATGGTTCTAGATATGGTTCCTTTCATTCTGAATTCAAAACTCTCATCTACACAATGATTTGGTTTGATAGGTAACCCATTTAACCAAAATACATTTTGGTTTAATTACTTAACCTCCAAATTCCCAACCAACTCTTATATTCAGTGACTTAAACCTCAAGAGATTAGGCCATTACACTTCTGTCGTAAGTGCATATGTGTGCTGGGGGCAGGGATAAGTTGTTTGGGAAGAGATCTTTTTATGGAAGACCCTTTAGTTTCTGGTGGTTTTTCTTCAAGGAGTGTGAGGGAAGGGTAGGATAGCTTAACTGCATTTCCTGTCACTGGCTTAATCTGGGGTATCTATCTATTACCCTCTTCAGAATACGTGTACCTGTATTCTACTTTGAGCTGCCCCAGAAGATGTGTGGAATATATGCGCATCACCAAGCAAGAGAAAAGTGTCTTCATCTGCTGCCACAAAAGCTACTGCAACAGTTTGTCAACAGAAGAGAGTCCCCTCCAAGAAAATGATTTTGTCTAAATTGTCAGCTGGCTTGCAGGTGTTCTTTCTGTCCACATCCTGCCCATTCCTTCCTGAACAATTAAGGTTCGGAAGTGCCTTCACTAAGACCCACAACCCACAAAGTCTCCTGAGATCCAAAGGACACAAGAGAAATGGGCTGTAAATAGAGAAGGAAGTTGGTGGAACTTTGAAATGAAACTTGGACTCATGTCAGATCTATGAGGTAGATTTGCAGTTCTGATTAGGGGCCAAACCACAAGTCCAACTGTGGTGAAAAGGCAATCATATTGTGTTGGGACATTTGAGTGTTATCAAGCGAATTATCAAGAATATTGTAATACATAATTTGACCATGTGCACAGGACTCATAGGTTGTTTCCACAGTGGGCTAGATAAGAATGAGGAGAATCTGTACAGAAAGTGGCAGATTCTTCAAATGTCTAGGATCCTAAATTCGGTTACACCTGACACTGGCTAAGCTGGTGTGTTCTTTTTCTCTGATAGCTAAAGAGTTGGGAACCTTATCTGGGTTCATGTTCACGTCCTAGTGACTCTCCCTTGTCTCCTATTGGACTTAGGGTGTTCATTCGTCCCTTCTAGTACAGAGATTAGATCTCTACATCTGTTCATAAGCATGGAAATAAGTGCAATGGAATCTCTGGTCAGTACATGAGCACCAAAGTGGCTGTAACAGAGTCCCTTGCCATGGTGCATAGTACTAAACAGTTGTTGGTTGGGGCTAGAGAGGGCCTCTAGCCTTCTTTCCTTCGAGGTGTAATGGGAAAAGATAAATTTACTCTAGCTAGAGGACAATGGTTTACTTTTTCACAAAGTGGAAACTTCCTGCAGGGACAAAGACTCAGAAAGGGAGGCATTAATTCGCCTTTACTAGGCGACTAGGGACTAGTGACCTAAGGACTTTTATGGTTGAGGCTGGGAGGGTACTCTCACAGAAAGAGAGAGCTTGGCTTTCCATAAGGGCATCCTCTGACCTCTTGTGTCTTGGAAATGGGTGACTCTGGTGAGGGCAAGAGAAAGGAAAAATTTCTAGTCACCATATGACTTAGAAAACACAAATTCAGGGGTGGAAAGATTGTAAGAGCCAGGGAGGAGGTGCATGACCATATGGAAATAGAGTCCTACAAGCTCCTGGGACCCTGCTCACATGAATCTATAGCAATGGTGTCAGCATCACAAGTCCCATGCAAATTCACGCAGACAAAAACCCAGCATAGAACTGGGGCTGGGGAAATGAACAGCAGACCCCAATCTTAGCTGAAGAAATATTGGCAACTGATTACTGCTAGGTGAGGAAGAGCTGATCTTCTAAAGTGAGGGACTCTAGATAAGCTGACTAGACCTCAGTAGATGAACTTGCACTAAGGAACATCTAGGGACACTAACTTGACACAATAGGCCTTAACATAAATGACAGAATGTATGAATTCCAATGGGTTCAATAAAAACAAACTTTTTAAAAAAAGAACACAAATTCAGGGGCTGGAGAGACAGCTTAGTACTTAAGAGCACTGGCCGCTTTTGCAGAGGACCCGGGGTCACATCCCACACACACGGTGACTAACAATTGTCCATGCATAACCCCGGTTCCAGGGGATCCGATGCCTACTTCTGACCTCTGCGGGCATTGCACAACACGGGTGCACTTGCATACATTCAGGCAATGCACTCATACACATAAAAAGTAAAAGTAATAAAATATTTTTAAAAGAACACAAATTCCTTTTTCAAATTAGTATTTCAAATGATTAATTTATGTTACATGTACATATCACTGATTTCTTCTGTCATTTCTGTACACACATGTATCAGGTTTTGCTTGAATTCTGCTTCCCTACTGCCCTCTCTTGCCATCCTCACATCCCGCTTCCCAAATTCCAGTCCCTGTTGGTCCTTCCTCTAATTTCAATTCATTATCATTTAAAAAATTCCCGATTCAAGAAAAAACACTCATCTGTCTTTTGCGTATGGCTTATTTCATTTATCACGATAACCTCCAGTTCTATCCATTCCCAAGTAAGAAGGGTTCCATCCTTCTTGATGACTGAAAAAAGCCTCATATACCCTCCACCGTGATTCCAATAGTTCTGCAATAGTCACTTATTTCATTTACTTTTATGCTAGTCCTATTTGCAGGTAAGGAACCTTGGGTAAAAGGCTAAATCATTTACTTATCCAATGCTACAATTATTCTGTCAGTGGGCTGAGCTAAGCCAAGATAAAAGGCAGGGCACAAATCAGTGCTTGCCATTCTGATGGATGCTTCTGGACTGAGATGCTTACCTGGGCTGTTCTGGGGTCCATAAAGCCTGAGATGATTCAGCCATAGAGATATGGCCCCTCCTTCACACTCAGATGGACTTGAGTTCTCTCCCCAGTGACCATCTAGAAAGTTACAACTTTGGGAAATCTGTGTGATTTTTATGAATCTTTATTTCCCCCTCTATAAAATTTACAAACATGGTATGCTGGTTGTTTTTCGTCAACTTGACACAATCTAGAGATACCTGGGAGGAAGGAACCTCAACTGAGGGATTTCCTCCATCAGATTGGTCTTTAGGAATGTCTATGGGACGTTATCTTGGTTGTTGAGTGATGTAGGTGGGCCAACCCCACTGTGGGCAGTGCCACCCCTGGGCACGTGGTCCTGGTTGTATAAGAAAGCAAGCTGAACACAGGCCAGAGGAAGCAAGCCAGTAAGCAGCATTCTTTCATGGTCTGTGCTTCAGTTCCTGCCTCCAGTTTCGGGTCCTGCTTGACTTCCTGTCATGGCTTTGCTCAATGATAGACTGTAACTTAGAGAGTGAGATACAAAGAATCCTTTCCTCCCCAAGTTATTTTTGATCAGAGTGTTTTATCACAGGAACAGAAAGCAAACTAGAGCATTTGGGTACTATGAAAATTAAATGGAAAAATATGCATAAAACACTCTGTAAGGTAACTGGCATGTATTAATTGCCCATCAGAAAGCGATTACTCTTATAATTCTTTAAAAAATATTTTATTTCTATTTTATATATGTATGGGTGTATTACCTGTGTGTATGTAATTGTACCTGTGTCATGCAATGCCTGCGGAAGTCAGAAGAGGTTGTCAGATTCCGCCGGAACTGGAGTTATGTATGTTTGTTAGCTGTCATGTGGGTGCTAGCAATTGAATCTGGGCACTCTACAAGAACAGCCAGTGCTCCTTAGTGCTGAACCATCTCCCCAGTCCCCTATAACTATAATTATTGATCATATTATAACTGAAATCTTAAATCAAAGAGAATTTTATGCACCAATAACAGAAAACCAAGGCTATGTCAGTTTTTCCAAAATTCTGGTCAGATATAGATAACATAGTATTTAGAACTTATTATTTTTTAAACCACTTTGAGTATACAATTTAGAGGCATTAAGTGTGCTCTGAATATTGTGTAGCCATTGCTACTATCTATTGTCAGATTTCTCATGAGTCTAATCAGAAAATCTGGTTGTAGAATGATACGTTAGTCCTTTTATGAACAGCTTATTTCCTTCAGTATAGTTTTTTCAAGGTTCATTTATGTTGTTTATATCAGAATTTTGTTCCTTTGTGTGGTTAAGTAATATTTCAGTTTATGTGCATGCCTCATTTTGTTTATTTATACATTGTCCATTGTGGATAGATTTGTCTTGTTTCAAACTTGGGGCTTTTGTAAACAATGCCTCTTTTGACACTGGTGTACAAATATCTGAATCTCTTGTTTGTTTCATTTGGCGTTGAGACAATGTCTCCCTATGTAGTCCAGGCTACCTCAAACTTACCGTGTAACCCAGGCTGGCTCTGAACTTGTGGCAATTATTCTGCCTCAGTTCTAGAATTACAAACATGAGCCACATGCCTAGCTTCTATTTCAATTCTTATGTGTGTGTATGTATGTATGTATGTATGTATGCATATGTATGTGTTCATGTGTGTACATGTGTGGGAGGGCATGTGTGTACCTGTATGCACGTGGAAGTCAGAGCCTGATATTGGGTATCTACTTTAGTTAATCTCCGCCTTATTTTTTGGGGATGACTGACCATTGAATTCTATGGATGTACCTGTCTCTGATCCCCTTCCCAGTGCTGGGTTTACAGATGCATGATGCCTGGCTTTTATGTGGGTATTGGAGATTCCAAAGCAGGTCATCATGCTTGCACACCAAGCACTTTACCACCCGAGCCACATTTCCAGCCCAATTTTCAATTCTCATAGTGATATACTCAATGGAGGAATTGATGGGTTCCATGGTGTCCCTATGTTTAACTGTGAGAAACTGCCAAACTGTTTTCGTAGAGTGGCTACCATTTTGCACTTCCACAAGGGTCTCGTTCCTTTACATTCTCACCAACACTTGCTAATTTCTTTTGTTATTTTTGAATAATAGACACCATAATACGTATAACAAAGTTTTCATTTGAATTACCTCATAACTATTGAGGATGAACATATCTTCATGTGCATATTCACCATTTTCTTTTGTTTTAGGAGAAATGTCCAGCCATGAATTTTGAACTGAATTCTTTGATTCAGTCACTGCGTTCTTCATATATTCTGGATATTAGCCTCTTAATTAGTATGTGATTTGAGAATAGTTCCTTCCATTCTGTGGGTTGTATTTCAGCCTCATTTTAATGTATATTTTTATTGAGTTTTTGTGCATTTCATATAAAACATCTTAATCATCTTTGTACCCCCTCTCAAATTTGCACCATCCCACAGACCCTCCACCAGATTTCATGCATGTTAAGGCCTATCAAGTCAAGTTAGTGCACCCAGATGTCCCTCAGTACAAGTTTATCCACTGGGGTTTAATCAGCCTACCTAGAGATTCTCCCTTAAAGATGATCAGTTCTCTCTCACCAAGCAATAATTGGCTGCCAATAGTTCTTTGGCTAAGGTTGGGGCCTGTTGCCCATTTCCCCACTTCCATGCTGGGTTTTTGTTTGCTTGAGTTTGCATGGGTCTTGTGCATGCTGACACCATTACTG